AATTTTATTCTGTACATATCAGCAAAAAAAATTTTTTTGATTCTTTCTACAGTGGATAAAAGAATTAATTTAGCCAATTCATGGTCCATCTAACGCAAAGGCTTAAGTTGAGTTACTTTCTATTAAGCAAAAAAAATTTTTTTAACTTCTAAGCTAATGCGTCATTTTCCTGGCATTCAAAATTTGGTGAATTTCTATTTTATTTTTTTGCTTGAGCAAATGTCAATAAACTACACTGCTATCTGTAAGATATTAGTAAATGTAACTAAATAAATATACAAAAAAAATTAGATTACTTAGAAGTCTTTAAATTTGAAGAAATTTTTTGTTCCGAATTTTCATGTTTCCAAAGAATCACCCATATACTTATTCTTTTGCGTTACTTGTTTAAAATCTTTAAAAAAAAATAATAAATATAAAAAGCACTTTTTATTAATCGGCATTTTAAAAAATCTAAAAGCACTATAAACTACATTAATAATCTTTTAAAATATTTGTGCTGTAATTTTCAGAAACATAATTTTAAGAAATAGGTAACAAAGAAAATGGTACATTGAGGGTAAAAAAAAGAAGAAAAAAAAAAACATTTTTAAGAAGTTCAATATTTTTCATTACATTCATTGGTTGCATGTTGCGAAAATGTTCGCATTTTCAATGCAAACAATCGTTTGAAATATTTCGAGCATGACAGATGCAAATTGAAATAACGCAATTATATTAATTTAAATTTCTAATTCGAATCGTACCCGTTCAATATTTACCCATATCGATCCTTGTACCATACTATTGATTACGCAAATAGGCTTAATTCTATTGTTAAGGAAATTTTGATAGAATTTCTAATTAATAAAAACAAATAAATTATATTCATTTTAAATAAAATTTTTAAAACTTTTAAGTAAAAATCTGTAAAAACATTTTTTTTAACTGCAACATATATGAATCTGGCCCATTAGAAAAAATGGTATATTTTTCCGGAAAGGCTTAAGCACTTGCATTCTTAATTTAAAATTCCTGCCAAATTTGAGAGAGCGTGCAAATTTTGTCACGTTGATTATTCTACTGCCCTCTATTTCCTTGCCAATTGAGAATTCCATTTACGAAAACCACGTTACTTCATTATCATTCTAAGGTCATTTTCATTATTATTCATAGAAGTACTTTTAGTGCATTTCTTCCAATAGATGATACTACCATTAGAGCACAAGAGAAAAAAAAAACAGAAGTTAAAATTCCTTTCTGGAGTTTCTATGAAGTATTAGAAATTAAAAAAAGGAAGAAGGAAAAAAGCAGTGGGTTGCCATTTCTTTTTTCTTAATTTTTATTTTAACGTCACGAGGCAGAAAACGATTCCTTTCTCGGTGTGTCACCTGGTCTGTGCTTTATAATTCAAGGTCAGTCACTGTTTATAACTTCAAAGTGATATGGTAATGTCACCATTCAAATCGACCTTAGAGATTTTTCTCGCTGTTGTCCTTCTTTGAGTTCGCAGGAAAATTGTAAAGATGAATAAACTTTTACACTTTCAAGATGGATATGTTTTCTTCTAATTTTTCGTCAACCTCGAGTTAAGTTCAATGATCATCAAATAATTCTTAATTCTTGCAAAATATCATGATCACTAAATATAATTAATTTCACGAATTCCACAAGGCTAACCAAGCCTTTAAGCGTTTCGTAGAGGCCAATTTTTAAAAATATTTCAATTATGCCGAAAAAAGTAAATTGCAATATTTGGTATTTTTTTATGGCAATAGCTTGGATGCTTATGGAAATAAGGAGTGATTATTTATTACCTTGGAGAAAGGTTTATAACTAGTAACTAGTTGAATACAATTAGTATTTGAAGTTGCAACTGATTCAAGGGGAAGTCAGCTGTTTTAAATGTCATTAACCTTTGTCATTTATTTTTCTTTTCAGAATAAAAAATATTTATTTAATTATCATGGAAAAACATAAAAAAAATAAGGTTAAATATAATGAAATGTTATTAGAATGTTTAAAGTGCAATATAAATAAGCGACTGTCGTGATATTAATGTTAACGATATTAACGTTGATAGAGCAAAGGTTCCTTACACTTTTTCTGTTCGAAGCCCCTTTTCAAATTGCCGATTTTTTTACGACCCACATATAAAATCTTATAAGTGCTACGTTAAGCTTTCAGAAGGGGATTATACCACTCCCTGGCAAAAGAACAAAATGCCACTTTCTTATCAAAAAAGTTAAAATACGAGCAATAAGTAACCTAACTTCCTTCTAAGAAAGGCATTTGTTGCGTTAATTTTTCTTTTTAAACTATATAGAATTGAATTTCACAAACTAATTAAACTGATATGAGATTTTTCGAAATTATCTCGTGAATTAAATACGTGATTTGTTAAGAGTAACAATACCGGGGAACAAAGTTCTTGTTTTACTTATAAAAGTACTTGTTCTTACCTTATTGTGTGGGAATTTCAAATCTGAAATTGGTTTTGTGAGGAGCGTTTAGGTTTATATTCACACATATACACACCCTTTGAAAATAAAACTTATCGCAAAAAAACAACAACATATGAACATACATATAGCATCATGAGCTGAAACGTATTATCGCCTTCTTTCGATCACTCCCAACGTAGAAGAGAAGTGGGGAAATTTGACCAGGTTACACGACGAACTTTTTTTTTCTTTGCAAATGTAGATAAAAAAATATTTAAAAATAACTTACATTAAACAGCTATTACAGTTTTAGACATTTTTTGCGCCCTAGACTAATTCAGTTTGGCAGCCCTTTCAACACAAATTGAATCCTTTTACTCCTATGGCCTTATTTGATAGGATTAAATTAGGGCCAGGAGAGCCTGGTCGGTAGGGCGCTGGGCCCATATCCGAGAGTTCGTCGGGTCGAACCCCGCCGGCCGAAGACTCCCCGTGTAGTTGGTGACTGATGCACGTTAAAATTCTGTCGAGTCGCAAAGTCCTCCATGTTCCCATAACAAATCAATACCTCTGGGGGTACTGGATTGGAGATCGATCGTTCTCTGATTCAGGTCAAAATTACGATCTGTGTATGAATGACTGGATGTATGAATGGGTTCGCCTTATAAACAGGTGTGACGTATGGTGTGGCGAAGTCGAATTCTTGGCCATAGATGGCGCCACTGAAAAACAAGAATCGCACACTCTGCCTTAAATTTGCTCGGTTTCACCTAGCAGGCTTGCCCGTGTGGCAAGTGGCATTAGAACCAACCAACCAGGATTAAATTTTATTTTACCAATACATTTGGCTATTAGGTTTTAAACTAAATTATTTATGCTTTGAATCGGACCAAAAATTAAAATTGGTAAGGAAATTATTTTATTATAAGCATTTGTCTTCCATGCCAAGATACAGGGTTACTCAAAATTATCTTTCCAACGTTGACCCGTAATAATACTAAAGACACACACATGCAGAAGCGGGCGCAAAGGCAGCGTTGTTTGTATGCTTTATCAAATAGTGAAATTTTATTGTTTGCAAAATATATTTGTTTTTGCTGTTGTATGTCTAGTTGCTTGCAAAAGCTCTACGCTTCTTCATCAGTGATTTGGAGCACGAGCTTACGCCTGTCTTTCTATTACAGTTCGTTGATGACAAGAATTACGGTTGAACTGGGACACAAATGATATGTTAAAGTTAGTCAGCAAACAGAATTTAAATAGTTTAGTTCTTCATTTAATCACATTAAGTAAATCACAATTTCTGCCTCATTTCGATTCAAAATTAATTTGAACATAACGAATTTTTTCATTGTGACCCATTATATAAATAAATTTTGTTTTTATTTTGGCCATTTCTAAAAAGAAATTGTAACATATTATAACTGCTTTTTGAGGAGACGTTTGATCATCTTTATTGTGGTTTTGCACAAATACAGATGAGATTCTTATGACATCAATCTAAATCAAATTTTCCATATTTTAAATCAAAATCTAATTTAATCTAAATCAAGTTTTTCAAAGCACTGTGTTTACATTAACAAACTTTTATTTAAATCATTTTCTGAAAATATTCTAACAAAGGTTTTAACTTTCAAACCTTTAAAAAAAATCATTCAAAATAATCTTAAGGACCGTATGCTCGCCAACGCTGAGTAACAGGTTTTGCCCGCTGAAAAATAGTTTATAATATAACAATTCCAGATATATATGGTCCCGCAGTGGACTGATCGTTAAGACACGGTTCTCAGCAGATCACCGTGTCTTAAGTCAAGCATCACTGGCTGCGATCAGTGTGCGGGTGGGTGACCACTTGGATCAGCCTGCGTAGGGACCGAGGGTGTGCGGTATTGGTCCTCGTTAAACTGTTCTACCGTAAAGTGCTCGACTTCGCGTGCAGGTCGTCGAGCTACCGAAGCGGGGGTGCCAATCCCTCCGCAGAGGATAAAAATTGTGTTGGCATGTCTTCGGATCATCCTCAGGGATGTTTCCCAGACCGTCGCCAATAGCCCATTGTGCAGCTCTAGTGGCACGTAAATGAACAACAACCAGATATACATGATGTGCTTTTTGGGTCAAACTTTGATTTTAAATGTCTGCTATTCCCCCCCCCCTTCTTTCCGTTTTATCAGTTTTGAAACCTCATGTGTAAGCATTAAAGCGTATTGAAGAGCTAAAGTTCTGTAGTGGCATCGGGGAACACACCTGCTGCTTTTACTGTTCTTAGAAGCCTCATGTGCAAGCATCAAAGCCTATTGAGGTGCTACGTGGCACAAACCTGCGACATTATTTTCTCAGCTATACCTTAACTGATTTATTTTATTATTCACTTATATAAATGAAGGCTTGTGTGCTCAATACAAAAAATGGCTAACAAATTTTTGTCAAATTGAAGAACAGAAAGAACACGTTAGAGAAGAACAGCACAAAGATACACAAAAGGTTACGGTAATATTCGAACCCGTTACCTTCTTGCTTCAAAGAGTTTGGTGGATTGATATACCCTTCCACCACGGAGGCCCTTTAACCTAAAAATTGCATTTCGAGCGTTCTCCTCATGACAGAAAGAGTCATTGAAAAGCGTATTCAAAAATCCAATCTAATTCTTTTTAATTATAGCCACTTTCGTTTAATGCACTGAGTGTTGGTAAGGTTTCAAATTTGAAGAGTTTTTAGAGTTTGATAAATGGTAAGAATGTTATCTTAAATTTTTATATTTGCATAGCGAAACCATTTTTCTTTGCAATTACTTTAAGGAGATCGACTTGAATATGAAAGAAATTATTTATTTTAAAATGTAACGAACTGGATTATTTAAAGTAACAATTAAAATTGGTTATTATGCTGCAGAATTTGTTGGAGTTTTATTAAATTCCCCCTCCCCTTAAATGCTCATCAATTTCATTTATTTCAAAACTTGCTTTAATCACAATAGATAGCTATAAAGCCAAATAGCTCAACTTGGTGTATTTAAGTTTAGCCTAATATTTGCTTTTCACTTTTTCTGGATTTCAGTTTTTATACTTATATATCCAAGTCAATTCCAGTAATAGGTAATTGTTTGAAAAAAAAATCAATTTGGTTGTGGAATAAAACAGAACGGAATCTTATCCTTTCATCATTATTTAATATTAGAACTTTTTTCTATAAAGCTTTTTAAGATTTTGATAATGTTTTTGTTTCAATCTTCGACTTCTACTGCTGATATTTTTACAAATATTCTAAACTTTATATAATTGCAGCTTGAATTTTTTTAAAACAATATTAAAACTTTAAGTTAGTTATTAAAATTAGCTTTCCTATTAAACTCTAAGTTCTAATGTTAAAAAGCATTCACTTTTGTATTAGTTCAGTGTTAACTGAGAAGATTTGTAAGAAGTGATTTGTAACAAATTACTACCAAAGTTTTGAAAGCTGTCTATGAAACCGAACTCTTCCTTAAATGATCATACTATGGGAACTGAATGGATATTTAAAAATTATTGCAATTTAATTTTTTCTGATAGAAAGGGAGGACATTTATTAAAGCTAAATAATTTTTTGCGTAGTTCTCATTTCTATTGCAAACTTCAGAGAAGTTACTAATTAAAACAATGATTTAAAGAAAAAAACAATAAATCACAATTTTATTTTTAATGGAAAAGTTTCAGTCATCTTCTGCTTTTGAAACTAAAACTGCGGTAAATACATTAGTCAGTGCAGTACATTAGCAGAGATGCAAACTTGCTCCGGACAGCAAATATATATTTTAAAGTGGTAGTTTATCAATTGTGATTCTTGGTTTAGTAAATTCAATATAGATTTTTATCTACCGCTATTTCTAAATAGTTCGTAGACTTGTATAATTCACTACATTATAATACTTATGTCATACTATACCATTTAAAAAGCGAACAAAAATAGTCAAATATTTGCAAAATTTACTTTGTAGTTATTTACCGTTTTTTTAAAAAAAATTATTTTGGCGTATGCGTAGACAAACTATAGGTTTTAGACAGTTTTTATCTGTCTTCTCAAAAAGCAATTTTTGACGTCAAAATCCCAATCCTGGTTGCAACTGATTAAAAAGAATCAACATGTTGCGGGCGACAAACATTTGCCTTCTAAGTTATATATTCTTTAGGATTGTTACATTATTTCACTTAGCAAAACTTTCATGTATAAAAAAAAACGTAAAAATAATTACAAATTTATTGCAATAAATGCGTATCTGACTGTAAGGACAATGTTATAAAAGTAAATTTTGAATTTTTACTTTTATATTGCTGTTAGCAAATAAAATGTCAACCTGAATTAATGCTCGGTTGATCAATTGCTGAACTCTCTTAATAGGAATAATGGAAAAAAATGTAATAGAAGTAGTCAGAGCTTAAAAAAGAAGTCAAAATTAAAGTATAAATAGTTGGAAATAAAACGTTAATGAGATTTTAAATGATTTTATACCTAAATGCAAGAGAACTTTATTTTTTGAAGAATAAAATCTTCGCAACAAGCTTTTCTCGAGTAATAGAAATTAATTTTTGGAAGAGATGACGAAATTCAAAGACTTATTTGACATTTGTGAACAAGAAACTTCTTTTTAAATTTTATAGAAATTATCATTTGAAGATATTGAAGTTCGGATTTTCACAGGAATGAACTTAGAGTTCGTCCCTAATTGGAAAAATAAAGGTTTATCTCCAAATTTGTGTTTAAATATTGACAAAAAATGTACCAGGAAAAAAAAAGGGAACTTTAAATGCTCAAATCCTTTTTGTTGTCGAAACTACAATCGGGGTTGATCATTAGTAGTCCTAGACCCAACAAATTGGGTGGACTCCTCAACGACGATTATAAAATCTGTAGAAGAAATGTTAGAAAGTGTCATATACTTTCAACTAGTCATAGTATGCCCTGCTTAATAAGAGGTATTGATGTTTTTAACTGCATTTTTGAAAAATTTAGGCTCTTAAAAATATTCTGTAGAAATAGAAGTGAATAATTTAATAACTCAATTATAATTTGAATCTGTGGCATTTCAAAAAAATCGTCAATTAACTCGAACGATTCTTAATTTTTCTTCAGAATTTTCTATTTGATTTCAAATTATTTAAATCTATTTTAGAAATACTTATTTTGAACTAAAGGACGATCGCTTAAAGTTAAGAGCATTAATTTTTATAAATTTTAATCTCTGATAAATAAATATAAAAGATATTTGGCTCTGAAACTTGTTCATTTTTAAATATTGGATTAAAAAAAAAAAGAAATCGAATGGAAAGTTGTGAACACGAATTTTTAGTTACATTTGTTCCATATTTTAAGAACGTAGCTTTGAGATAACGGGATCTACAGATTCAAGTTGATTGATTTTCCATAACTGAATTGTCAGAACCGCTTAAATATATTTGTTCTTGATGTAAAAAAGGGGGAAAAAAGTAAACCCAATTAAGTTAGATATTTTATAATTTTTCAGGAACCTTTGTCCTAGTTATTTGTACGTTTTTATTTCGTTATAGGTTTATTTTCGGATACTAAACTTGTTGCAAAGAAATGAATTGTACATAAAAATCAATTCAAATATGCCTTCCTAATTCCTAAAAAATTTTAATTCGAAGACAAGACAGAGATAAGACTAGGACCCGGCCCATAAAAGATGGGTAAAAGGCCGAAATGGAGTTATTAAAGCATACTTTGGACTTTTATCAAGTCACTTTGGTAGAAGCTAGATTTTTACCGGTTAAACTTAGGATTTATCGGACTTCAGGTTTTTACCGTAACATAGATTAATTCTAATTTGTTATTTAACTAAAAATTTATTCGCGCAGATGCGTAAGAAAAAGAACTTAAGACTTTGTTTTGTTAAAAATTCTCCTACTTATAGTTTCAAAACACGTTGTTTCGATATATGTCTTATTTTAATTATACTATTTATTAAATGCTTTTGTCCCTCAATTTTTTTAAATGCATTTTTAATAATTACTTGGTATGCTCCAACTTGAAATCGTGTATCACCAAAGAGAGGCTAATCTAAAGTAAAAAAATGAAAATTATTTTTTTATGCTCAATTTTTAAAATGTTATAATGAAAAATAACAAATCTTGTGTCCTTCAATATTTAGTTAGCAGTTCATACTTTAAAATATACTTAATGTGTTTTGTTAAAAGAAATTTGATGGTAGAAAAAAGTTATTAAGCTTTCGTTCCTAAATATTCAATCATTATAATGAAATACTTTGAACTAAAATATGTTAGTTTAGATAGATGACCGTTTAAGTGTGAACCAATATTTGTTCAAAATATATTAAACTTTTGAAAATTCTTTAATACTTTTAAAAAAGGTGCATCTCAATCATAAATTTTTTCCCACAAAACTGGCAAACTACTCAGTCATATTTTGAGGGATATCCTAAAATTTTGAGGGAATTATAATTACTTAAGTAGTTTGGATATCCTAAGTCTTAAATCAAGTTGCAGTACCATTGTCATATATCGACACGTTTCGCTTAAAGTTTGCAAAAATGTAAGTAAAATGCGAATTTTTTCTACTTAAACTGAACTACAAGTAAAACGTAAGATAAATAAAAGGCCAGAGTTTAATTTTCAAATCATTTTGATGCATTTAGAATTTTAAGCTTTGAGGGTCTTCTGATTTCACTAATTCTTTTGTCATAAGCATATTCTGAGGCTGAAAATTAAAAAAAAATGGTATAAAACATGAAAGTTGATAAAAGGGAGTGTAGCTAAATTATTCAACAAAAAATAAGCACCCTTTAAGCACTTTTCAAGCCCTCAAAAAATATTTTTAAGCACATTTAAAAAAAATATAATTAGGCAGGGTTGGAAAGTTTTTGACAATTGACGGTTTTATCTTGTTTTAACCGTCATGTCGAAAGAAAAAAACTTTTGGCATTGTTTTTGACAATTGTCAAAAATCATGAAAATTTGAATCGTGTAAAACGAATGGCGTTTTCATACGCTACGGACTGACAATACTCCGAAATAGATTGGGGTTGAATTATGAAAACGTTGACAAGAATAATGTGAACTGTGTCTTTTTGCATAATTCGAAGCTAAAATCAACATAGTAAAAGAAAAATCTAATTTTGAAAAAGGGAAAATTATGCACTTTTTAAAAATATCCAATGAAAAAAGCACCTTTAAGGGCTTTTAAAAAACTAAAATCAAAAATAAGCACATTTAAGCATTTTTCAAAAACGCTACGCACACCGGATAACGACAAATTAAAATGTGAATGCCCAACGAAAAAATTCAGCTAGGCAAAAAGGACACATTGAATATTAGGTTTTTAAGGCTACTGGTCATAAGTTTTACTTCAGAATACTGGTCCAACGAAGTTATTTTTCGTGCTTTTGCATTGTTTTTTCATAATTAAAAGAAAGTGGTAAAATACTGTCTCAAATCTCCAACAAATGTTAAAAAAATAAACTTAACTAACTTTATGAAAGGTCTTTGTTTCTTTATACCTATTTGAATTTCTTAATTTTCGAAGCACAAACTACTCTTTTATTCATTTGAATCCTCTTTCCCTTCAGGAAATATGAAAAACCTATTACTATTTATGATGATTTATCTGCTACTAATTGACGAGTTCAACTGTCAAACTCTGGAAGCTCTCATTTTGGGACACTCTATTAAGATATTAAAAAGACTCAAACCTAAACTCAAAGATAAGAAGAAAAAAGCCTACGCCATTGGTGCCGTTGTAAAAGGAGTTAAAGGAACGATAGCAGGAAAAATTGGAGTACCTCTCAAAGTTTTAGGAATGCTTCTCGGTCCATTTGGAATTCCTAAAAAAGTCGTTGGAGGTGCACTCAAGACGAAATCCGTGTTGGAAAAAACTAAAGCTGGAGTGTTGACGGTCAAAAAATGGTCCAGAGATTCTATGCGATATGGATAAATAACTTCAGCTGCTCAACAGTTTTGAGACCGTTTAACTTTAAAGAACTTAGTTTTAGAATTGTTTCAAGTTCGGCTTTTACGTTTCCTGTTGGTGTTCGAGAATTCAGGTTAAAATTAAACACATAAAAACTTTATGTGAAAGGCTTTCTTTCAGCCAATTCGATACTACAGCTGTTTTTATGGTCTAATATCTTATGAAATGTTAACCACGTTATACTAATGTTTGACTTGAATAAAATACTGAAACTGTTTCTTGAAAAATTTAATGTTTAGTGTTGGCCATCACAAGATTACAAAATCTGGTTGACACTGAAGTAAAAATAAAGCTAAACAAATATATTGAAATAATTTTCTTAACAACCAAGTACCAATTTAAACAAGGTCATTAAAAAAAAACGAATAGGTGCTTCTATATAACGTTTAAGGAGCAAGTGGATGAAGGACTTGAAACAAGATACTTTAAAAATTTTCATAGCACTACAAATGCTGATTGAATCAAACTTCCAGTGTGATACTGTCATGTTCATAAAAACAGAACCAATTTATAGTTTTTAAGAATGATAATTCCCTTTTAAACAATAAAGCAATTTTTTCTTGTAAAAAATTACCCTTCATCCACTTATATCTTTAAGATAATACGTTTTACAAGAACAAATTTTAATTTTCTGCTTGAGATTTTAACGTTATTTGTTGTGAAAATTTAGATGAAAAATGTGTTATTTGTCCTGTGTATCAATTCACAAATATTTCCTGGAAAACCACACGCTTGCTGAGACAGGGGCGAACTTTGGTAAGCAATAAATAAAAACATGGTTTTAGTTTGCGTGCAACTGTAGCATCATTACATATTTGTGCAGTGTTGAATGCATACAGAATGCAATTAAAGTTTACTGGTTTAATCCGATCTAAACAACAAAAGTAAAAAACTAAATTATATAGTTAATCTGTGCTAGGGTCAGATGAAATACATGTTTCTCTAGTATCAACCCTTTCTTTCAGGGTAACATGAAAAACTTAATGGTATCTATGATGATTTATCTGATACTTTTGGACTTGCTTTGCTTACAAACAACAGAAGCTCTAAGAGATTTGAAAAATAAAGCCTATGCCGTTGGTGCTGTTAAAAAAGGCGTAAGTGGCACGGCAGCTGGAGTTGTGGGGAAGCCTCTGAAGTTGGTTGGGGTCATTCTTGGTCCACTTGGTCTGCCTTTCAAAATCAAAGGAGGAAAACTAAAGGCTAAATCTGCAGTTCATTGGACAAAATCTGGAGTCAAAACAGTCAAGAAGTGGTCAAAAATATCGGCTCAATATGGTTGATTACTTAAAGAAAGTTTATAATAGACTGCTAATTCATATGTTAAGAATTGAATGTAACATATTTGTGAATATTGAAGGAATTTAAAATTAATTTTACAAAGGCAACCTATTTTAATTGTAATGTGAAATAAATGATATATTTAGATGAGATTAGATTATCTTCAATTAAAATTGAAAATACAAAGCATTTTCACTCTTTAAAAGTATTGAAAAAGCATAAAATATTTTACACATCATCACATCTGAAATTGTTTTTACGTATTGCACAACACTAAAACTTAGTTAAAATTTCACCTTTGAAAAAATGAAAAATTTGCACTTTTTCAATTTAAATCATATTTGATAGAAGAAAAATTTGTTTCCATTTTGTAATCACACTTATGTGAACAAGGAAAATATTGGGATACATAGGAAAAATCCTTTAAATAAAAGTGTTTAAAAAAATTCACAAGGACATCTTAATTAAGATGAATTGGCAACATAATTTATACTTTAAAATGTAAGTGTGTAGGGAGCATCTTTCGAAAAATATATCCAATTTAAGGGTCCCCTTCAGACGATGGTAGTAGTTCATTCATATCCCACTAGAGCTGCACAGTGGGCTATTGGCCACGGCCTAGAAAACATCCACGAGGATGATCTGAAGACACATCATCACAATTTTTATCTTCTGCAGAGGAATATAAGGCTTCTCCGCTTTAGTAGCCTAACGACCTCACTGAAGTCCAGGTCTTTATAATTAAAAAAAATCTTTTGAAAGAGATACAGAAAGTATTAAATATTAACTCAATTTAAGGTAAAAAATAATCAAGATATCATTAATTGCTTATTTTTGCTACTATGGGAAAGTGTAGTAAAAACTCCTTTGCTCGTTGAATGAGTACCGATTTATTTTAGTCTAGTTTTGCATGAATGGTAATATTCTTTTTATAACAATATAATTTCTTCTTTTTAAAATCTATTCCTACTTAAATCAACAAAGAAAATTTTTATTTTAGTTATTTTTTATTAAATAATTACAATTAATATATATATACATATGACAGAATTGCAACAATAAGTGGCAAAATAGATAGCGAATTTCCATTCTACGTATGGTGTTCGACTATTTACGATTGCCCCTATTTATTTGCTTTCTATTATCTTATTTCTAATTTATGACTGAGTCGTGTATTCGGCATGGCGGTATTTATTCCTAAATTTATATCCCGCTAAATATCTTAAATAAAAATTTTTTTCCCATATAAAACTGAAATTATACAGTTTTTTCAAATATTAATTCATGATTTAAACACCAAGTGTCATCCACGACAAGTTTAAAAAAATGTATTTGAACTTGAGTGGATGAATAAAGAGTATTTTATTAATGATTGAAATTTTGAACACGATATAGAGAGAGTGTGAACTAATATTGGGAATTGAAAAAGTATGACCAACTCCTCTCGACGTGCTTAACTGCCTAAGAATCTTACGACCCCTGGCTCTCTTAAAGGAATATTCTCCCTTTGACGTAGAATTAATGTTTCTGCAGGTTATAGCTTCATATGTTTTTGATATTGAATTCTGCACTTCATCTTTCCTCAAATACATAGTTCATGTTTTTCTCTTTACATGGCTAGAGATTTTTAAGGACATTGATGAGTAATAAAAGATGTAACATTGCTCATAATCATTGATTTAAAAATGTTATTTAATCAAAATAAGTGTTTCAATTTTTAAAAAATATTACTTTCCAGATTATAAATCTTTAAGATTTAGAAGGAAGAAGAGGGTAGCTTTTTACATTTTTCAAAAGGATATGGAATACATTATTGCACCAGTCATAAAAGCACATTGAACCCTTAATATACCCACTATAATTTTAGAAGAAATAAGATACATTAAATGTAATAATCTTAGTAATTTCAAATTAGAAAAAAATCTCAAATTTTGCACCCAGAGTACATTTAGTATGTTTTCTCCAAACATGTTAATATATTTATGAAAAGGAAGTAGAAAAAAAGTTGACACACTAGAAGTTAAATATTTAAGCAATGAGAAAAAAAATGCCAGAGCAGACTGAAAGCTTTTTTGATTGCCTGAGGAAACAGAAGAGTTAAATGATTGTGTGATAAAATTGGGTCTTTTGTCAAAGTGGTGTTTGGACTTTTTAGTCCTGCTTTACATAGTGTTTTTTTCCTCCCACAAATATTAATTTGACTCCAAATGTCTATAAACTTCAACCTTTAACAAGAAATATAAAAATATATATTAAGGGTGGTTGATTATGGAACACCCAGTATGTGCAAGAGGAATGTTAAGCTTTCCCAGAGTTATTCAAATAATTTTGTTGAAGACAGAAGAACTTATTTTAAGTGACATTTTATACAAAATGAAATATCAAAATTTTATGTCAAAAATTAACTATGAAGTAAAAGATGAAAAAAAAACTTAAAACAATTTAATGAAATTTTTTTTTTTTTTTCTAACGGCAGGCACTGAACTTTCGTTCTTCGCCTAGGAAGATGCCGGAGTTGTTACTCATTTAACGTTACCCAGTGGGCACCTGTGAACCTAAGTCACGGAGGCGAGCAACATTACCCACGCCACATACCCGTTTATAGGGTGGGCCACATTCACACATCACACAATAGAGAACACACACAGAGAGAAACATCCATGCCCTAAGCGGGATTCGAACCCGCAACCAGTGGCTTCACAGTCAGGCACGCTGACCGCTCGGCCACCAAAAATTTAATGAAATGAGAGAATACAAAAAAAAAAGAAAACAGAACAATTACTTTTTGAATGACTTTAATGCAATTTTTAAAAAATCTGGTGTAATATTAGACACATAAGTAACACATATAATTTAAAAATCAAGAGTAATATACATTAAAAAAAAAAATTATATAAAAGTATACCCTTAATATAAAAGCTATCACATTTGAGAGTTTTCGAAAACCTATTACCATATATCACGATTTAAACTTTTTAAAATTTTACGAGTATCTGGGGGTTAACTTGTACATGGATAATGAGGTCTGACATTCATTGATTGTGAAATATTGATGCATTATAAACAATGAAATTAATGACTAATTTTATAAATTTATCCCTTTCAAAAGCTATTTTTAATATGTTATATATAGCTTGTTTTCAATTTCACTCTTCATGCTTTCTTTACATAAAAAAGGTGTTTTTAGAAACAATAATTTAAATAACACTTAGAAAGATTGAGAATAAGAAAAGCGAATATAATTTATTAAAGGGTATTTCAGAAAATATAAAACAATATAACATTTTCATATTTGATTTCTTCAGTGGTCAACTTATACACACGACATACCAGAAATTTGCTATCTATTCATTAAAAATAAGGGATAGATACATTGGGATATACAGTACATTAGAAAATGAAAAGAGAGAAAACTATTTTAAATATAGACTTGTATTCAGCAGGGGTGATTGTGAGCCCAAGTCAAAATTCCGGAAAATTTCTTTAGTTAAAAAAAGTTTAAATTGAAAAATTAGAAAAAAATTTAAACAAGGTCTTTTTCCTTTTTCTCAATATTTCTTAGTTTACTTAAAATATATTTACAATTTTACACATACCTATGATGACCTGGAGAAGTAATTAAAATTTACAAATATGCCTTTCTTTCTCGAGTTTATGATTATAACAACTATTTACTGATAAAAAATGGATATTAATCATGAATATAAGCTTATAAAGTATCTCTCTGGCTCTGTCTTACAAACAAATAAAATGTGATTTTAAGTTCCACCTTTGAAAATTTGATTTTGGAATCTTCTGTGATAAATGATTTTTTGAAACGTCTGGACCTTCTATCTCCGGAAACTTCCGGATCACTGTTAGCGAAAATTTCGGAAATCCAGATTTTTTCCGGAGCACAATCAGCCCCGATTCAGAAACTTGTACAGGGTTCCCATCTAATTAAAAAAAAAAAAAAAAAAATTCCTGTCCTTTTTCAGGTATTCCAAGAATACTTCAATGTAAATCAAGACCATATTTTATCAGGCAATTTTTCATCAGAGAACTTTGATTTTTTTTTAACTTGGTATATCAGATATTAACTTTCGCGAGTTAAAAAATATCATTGAATGAGGATGGAAACATGGAAAAGTTTCATTAAAAGTAGAATTTTTACGACTAAAATAGATGTTAAAAATATTTAACTCTAATCTCAATCACTGTTACTGATTCTAAGATTGGTTATTTTCCAGGTATAGTGTAGGAATTTTCCAAACTTTCCCTGCTTTTTAGAGTCAAAATAAAATTCCCTGGCAATATCAGATTTTCCCTGCACCATGAGAATCCTTTCGTATATGCCAATTGAAGCAATAAAGAAAAAAACAATGAAAATAAAATAAAAATATGGCCACCGAAGCCGACTTTTTCAGGGGGTACCAGCTCAGGAAGTCATAGAATAAAACCTTTTCTATTGAGAGAGTGGATAAATGTCAAAATTAGCTCTCTCAGTACCTCGAAGGTTTTGTAAAAGTCCAGGAAGAAATACATAAAATCAAATCAAATAAGAAGAGAAATTTCAAACAAAATCTTGAGAATATAATACAAAAGTGAAGAAATAAAAAATATATGCCAAGCTGAATCATTTGAAAATAGTTACAGTCCTTGTTAATTATTCCCTGTCTATGCCTTTGTACAATACATGCACTTACATTACTGAAACCTAATTAAATTTTTAACTCTTTGAATTGTTAATGAAGGACTATCACTTGAGAGCTATGAAAACTAGCACTTTATTCACAAAAACCTTTTCATCACTAGTTTAGACAGGTATAAGCCAGTTTGCTAAAAGTCTGAATATAAAAAATTTAAAACAAGTAAGGATTATGAAATAAAAATTAAAAAAAAAAATCTCTTAAAAAAAAAACAGAGTTAATATTACTTGAAGTTGCAGATTAAATTTAAAATAAAGCTTATTAGGCTTTTGAATATTTAATGACATTTTAATCAAAGAGAAAGACCAATGTACATCATGGTACTTAACTGGTTGTATTTAGGACAGAAGGCCACTTCAAAAACCTAAAATATAAAAAGAGCAATTTTTTATTATAAGAACAAAAATATCAAAAGCAAACAATATATAAATAAAAAGCTAAGAATTTGATTCAAAGCTATAATTTTAAAAGTAAAATATCTGAAACATTTTTAACTTAATAAATATGTGGACTTTTTTAAAATCTATAAAGTATATAATTGATACTAAATTAACTTGAAGTGTTTTTATTACATTTATTTTACTTTTTTAAAAATTATAAAGCTTAATAATAGATTTTAATTCATTTTATACAAATTGTGATAGATTTATTCACTTAATTAGATAGATAATTATAATTAACTTAATTGTAGAGAATCATAAAATTTTTTTTGAACATTTAAAGGACACAAAAAGTTTCTAACTGATTAATTTAACCAAAATTTGCTTCATTATCTAGCAGTAATACTTATTTAAAAACACAAAAGTTAAAAAAAAAAAAAAAAANAAAAAAATAAAAAAAAAAAAAAAAAAAAAAGATTTTTAAGGGATTTTCCAGACTATTTCTCAATTTTTGAGAATTTTCTAAATAAATAAAATAAAAAAAAGCTGGCAAAATTTAGTGGAGTTTGCAGTTATGTATGATGTAATAAAAGTAAAGTGGTGGACACAAAAACTGTATTACATAAAAAAAGTTAACTTTTACGATTTTTCATACTTTTATTTGAGTAAAGTTTTAAGTATTATTTGCCACTTTTATTAACATGCATAATATTCAATTATACAAGTTACTATATTGTAAAGTTCTATTTTAAGATAATTATATAAATTTTCTTTAAATAAAATCTTGAAATTACAGAAATGTATTCCTGAAATGTTTTATAAGATAACTGAGAAATATAATTGCATGTTCAATTATTAGTATTAACACTGAAAAAATGTATACCAATCAGACTTATATTTTTCATTTTTTTTTAAAAAAAATAGGTAAAAAAATTTAAACAAATAGTAAAATTTTATGATACAACATATCATACAACTTTAATTAGTAAAAGTAATAGAGTAAAAAGATCTTTCGAAATCATATAATTACACATAAGTCTACAAAAAATATTTTTTTAATAAATAATTTAAAGGTTTAAAGCACAAATTGGAAGAAGTTGCTGGTATTACTACAAGATGGAAAATACTGTAGGTGATTATTTTGATGTGGCTGCAAGAGTTTAATTTTAAATTTTTTATTTTTTTTATTTTTATTCCCACCTAAATCAGTAATTTAAAAAATAAACAAAAACAAGTGTTTTAAATTGATTTAAATCATGCCAACTTACCTACATATTCATATAACATAAAAATTTGGTTTAACAATTTTTCAGCTGCCTTTTTTTCTCACTTAATAAATATCAATACTAATTTTTGAATGATTTTAAATAATTCTTTGTTATAGTCATCATACAAGTAATAGAAATGTAATCTCTAATTTTGCAGAAGTAAACATATCTCACTAAAGCTGAAGTTTCAGACGAAAATATTGAATTATTTATTAGCAGAATACAATGTTAAATTCAGTGTTTAAACAAAGACATGCTGCCTCAATAGCAATAAAATATTCTTTATATTTCATTCAGTATAAAAAAAAAAGCAAAATGTTTGTGCCATCCACCTGCTTTAGGAACTTTTCAATAACAAAATTACACATGAACTCTCAAGATTTTGCTAACAATACTGATGTATGCTTGAGGTAATAAGTTGAGTTTACTTTATATTCAAGTAATTATCCTTTGTGCTTCTTATTAAGCAATAATTAAGTTTTTTTACTTAAATAGTAACAAAAATACAAATCCTTATACATTTCTTCTTATACAAAATTATCATGTTAAAACTTAAAGGCATTAATACAGTAAAAAAATGAAAGGAGAGAAAAAAAAAGAATGGAAATAAGCCTTATCTACAAATTTTCTTCACTCCAGCTAGAAAGATCATAAAATATGTAGTTTTTGTTTCGGATAGAAGTTTTTAATAGGTATATCGCAGAATGGAAATTATAAGAGCAATCATATCCTCAACTTTTGCAAAAAATTGCTGGAAAATGCTTGTGTGATATAAGAATCAGAATCGCATTTGCTCGAAGTAACAGCAACCATTTCTCTCTACTGATAAAAAATTGCCTATAATTACGAGCAAATCGTACTTGGGCCAATAAGATCATCTAAATTTCATGATGTTTCAATTCTATGTGATCGCATTCACAAATATAAATAATAATGGTGTCCACGAAGATGGAGAGGATGATTGGACGAAATTTTTCATTGATGAAACAGAACAGTTATGGAGTGTAAAAATAACAATTATATTTAAATTCGAGCATTAAAAATTCTTTTGTATCATGGGATGTTAAACTCTATGCAGTTGATATTTCATAATAGCAACCTGCACATCATTTTAGTGGCTGTAAGTGCAGTAAACTAATTTCTAGTTAAATGTTTTTTTTTTTTTTAAGAATATTTATTCGATCTTTCTTAGTAAAATTAAAATTTATTATAATTTGTCTCAATCAAAACTTAAGATTACTTTTGACGGAAATAATTTCTATTTTTAAATAGATGAATTCTTTTGGTTAAAAAACTGAAAATTTTTTGATTAAAAGTAAAACTAGCACGATATTGATGTTAAAATGATAACAGACATACAACATCACAAATTTATTTAACATTTAATCATTGCATGATAGAAGTTTTTAAAAATAAAGGTCAGACAATATAATGGCTCAAAAAGGGGGAAAGAAACACCTTTTCATTTTATTAAATTTGGAAACATAAAATTCAATTTTGTAATTTATTATTAAAAAAATGAAAGAAATATATCAAACGTGTGTTGTTGGATTCTACAAAAACATGTTAAGTGGAGATGGATTTGTAAGTACATTTTCCAGTTGTATTCTTACTTAATTTTCCCCTACGATTTCTGATCATTAAACATTTTAATCAGTTGTTTAACTATTTATTGAGATAAAGTTTCCCTCGTAAAAAAGAATCTTTTCTCCCAAGTTCATGTCTTGCAACACATGGAAGGAAAAGGTTGGAAACTGCTGGTTTGATGAAGAGAAACATATTTTTAACTTATCATAAAAAAAAAAATGGAGGATTCTGCCAAACTGATTTCCTTTACAGGGAAAGAAAATATAAAGTTTTGATCCTAAACTAACTGAATCAAGGATAGATATGAAATTTGGATACCTTCAATTTAAAATACATTATGTTATTATAGCATTAAGTATGACTAGATTTGCACCATATAGAAAATTTGATTAAAATATTATTTTCTTGCAAGGAGCAAATTATATCACCTAAATATCTATATTTTATAGAAATTATTTTTATCAAATATCTGAAAATTTGAAGAAATGTACATACAGTCAAAACTTGATAAAGTCAACTCGAATGAGTACGGAAAATTTGCGTACATTAAAAATAGTTCATACTATCAGTTCAGAAATATTTTGATGAAAATTGTGCAATACACAAGCATTTTTTATTATTTATATCTGTTATACATTTGCATTTTCTAAACTAAAATTTCTAGTATGAATAGGTTAATTATCATTTCATTTTAATAAATGATTTTATTTCCTGCTTTATATTAATTTAATAACTTATATATACCTCATAATAAATGCAACCAATTACTCTAAAAAATAAAGTCATAAAGAAAAAAATATAGTTCAGACAAAATTTAAAAATTTTATTTACTTTCGGTGCTGCATGTTTTACTTCTAAATCTATAAAAGCAAAAAAAAAAAAAAAAAAGCACTGAAAAGTAATTAACTAATAGGAGTAAATTGCTTTATCAAACAAATTAGAGAGGATTAATAACAAAATAATCGGCGATAGCTTGCTATTTTGTTTCTTATTTGCACATACTTTCCAAAAATCTTCTATTAATCAGTTTTTTCAATCAATCAGTTGTTTCATGATTGATCAGTTTTTAAACTGTCAGTGAGAAAATGTAACATTCTGTTCACATTAAAAGAAATTTTTTTCCAAGGGTAAGAAAATTCGAGTTCGCCTTGCCATGTTTCACACTAAAAGTTAACAAAATTAAATCATACATAAATGAAAATTTGCACAAACAGCTTAATTAGTTATAGGTAAGCAGTTAACTTATTGAATAGATAAATTTACAAATAATTACTTTCATGTGTATTTTTTTTATCCCGGACTTTTTAACATGCAATGTTGTTCATATACCATGGAGTACCTGGAAAGCAACACATTATTATAATTTAATTGAAAATTCTTTAAATAAATTTTTTGATCCATTAATGCTATTTCATTTACAACAGAAAAATTTTATTAGTATTCCATGAAATCATAAAAATATTTCATTCATTATTGTAGTGTATAATTTAATATAAAAACCGATCTTGCACAAAATAACAAGAAACTACTTAAATAGACATTTTATATAAGCATTTTCCTGCAATTATATAAAGTATATAACTACAAGACTAACAAGGAGAGGGTAAGAATTGGAAAATTGACTAAATTAGTAGTAGACCTTAAAGGTGTTCATGCCTTAAAACAATAAAGTGTACCAGCCAGCAAATTCTGAAAAAAACATTTAAACATTTAAGCATAATTTATATACTAGTTAAATCTTCTTATAATTAATGCCACAGTGAACTAGTGGTATTATACATGTCTGGATATGGGATGTTTGGTGTTGCTCACTTATTTCCTTTTCTTTTAATTTTTAAGCCCATTATGCACCAAAGTTCCTGCTGTGGGAACAAATACTCTATATTTTTCTTACTTTCCTTTCATACATTTAAATTTTATTGATGTATCACTAAATATGGACTATTATCTAAAATTAATTTTATGAGAATGAAAAATATTTATTAAGTATTCATAAACCTTATAATAAAAATAAGCAAAATGTGAAAAGTTTGTGATTTCACCACTTTCTTCTCTTTTTTGTACCTGTCTATTAGAATTGAAGTCACAAGGTTGTGTGAGACCTGTATATTTTGGGAGAATCACTTTGAAACTACACTAAATAGCAAAATAGCAATGGCAAAAATAATAGCTATTTATGCTATTAATTTCCTATTGATCGTTTTTTGATCTACGGTTTCTACTGAAAAATTCAGCTTTCCATTATTTTTAAAACGGATGGCATTTTCATTGTTTTTCTCGGTTAATGTGTTTTACAACATAATTTTTTCCACCATGTGCAATAAAAAAAAAAACACATGCACAAGCACTACAAAAAGCATAATTTGTTTCCTTTTTGGGAGCTTTCAATGAAAAGAAAATATTCTGAAGAAGATTTCTAAAATTTACAAGCACATTTGACTTTACACAAACTCATGATTAAAGCGAATCATTAACAATGCAGCACATTCACAAACAAAACATAACGGAAGCGAGATGAGAAAATTGCCTACACTTCAGTTCCATCAGGAGGTTGTAGACTACACGCACATCCAGGATGGCCGATTGTTTATGGGAGATCAGCTACGTGCAACGTCGGTTAACGCATCTACGAACTGCGCTTCGTTTCATGCTTAGTGCTCTAACAAAGCAGCTAATTCAAGTCTTACATTCACATAAATTTTAATTATTTGCAAACATTTAGTAGTTTAAAATGATTTTTTTAAAGCATAAATCAAAACATTAGAAGAAATTGAAAAAAAAATCTTTAACGGTAGAAATCTTAAAAAATTTAAAAAAGCGGGAAAATTGGGAGAAAAATGGCGTGGGAGAATTGGCATGAAAGCAGGACTCTCCTGCAAAAAGCAGGAAAGTTGGCAAGTATGAGCATATGTATTTTATATGAAACCATTTTCAAAAACTAGGATAGGATCGAAGATATCTTAGAGGCAGGGCACACTTCACTTTGAAGTGGTTCTACTTATAAAGAATATATAATATGCTTAAAATGAATCCGGAAACTTATAGTAGTAAAGTTCAGAAGTCATAGATAAGCATTATACACAAACAATAGTTATCATAGTAAAAACTAAATAAAACACCAAATTATTACAAACATTAATTTGTTAATTAAACATCGTAATTCAAACATCTTTTTATATGACAAGATAAACATGAAATAAATTAAATTAAGGGAATTTTTTTTACAGATTAAGCTAAATTTCCCACCTAACATAGAAATATTGCAGTCTGTAGTAATATGATCAAATTAAATTTCAAACAAATATTAAAAAACAGGTAATACAGCCAAATCTCACCAGACCTGAACTCGAAGGGAAAAGTCCGAAATGTTCTGTTATCAAAAATAAAGTGTTTTTCAACAATTCAGTCAAAATAATAGCTATATTGTCATTTTAAACTTTTTTATACATATAATGTATTTATTCTAAAGAAAATCTATTTCAAACAGTTGCAATACCCTTGCTTGTTCGTCTGATTTTACATCCTGCTGAAGTGCTTCCGATTCATTATCTTCTTTTCTGAGATTCAAATATAGTTTAAACCTTGTACTCAATTAATTTTACATTAAAACCTTATAATCAAATTTTAATTAAAAAAACTAGGTACCTTCCAAATTAAATACATAGTAAGTCTAAATACAAGGGATGTTTAAACGGAAGTTTATTGGATAAATGTACTTGAATATGTTTAGAGTCTTTTTCGAACAGATTACCAAAACTTTTTTTAAAATATTCAATCAAAGATGTTTTGGATGATTGGCATATAAATACTTCGTAACTGATGGCAGAAGTGCATTATGTAGATGGAGTATATTTTAATGAAATAAGCTCCAAAGAATCTTATATTTAACCTTTTACAATCTGTAAAGTGAAAAGTTCATCTCACGCGAAACAATTTAGTGCTTACTAACTACATAAAACTATATTAAACATAGCACATAAAATGAGAAAATTATTAATATAAAAACCCTTGATATTAATAGTGTTTATGAAAAGTATCAGATGTTAAATACAGGGTTGCCACAGAAAAAATGAACAAAATAGTTGCTTTTAGCAGCCTAAATCATGAAAATATTTGCCGAAAACTATGAAAATAGTTGCCTAAATAAGAACAAAAATGTGACTAAAATATTAGCAAATGACTTAATTGTCATATACCATGATCCATTCAGTCAAGTTGGTGGCCAATATGATAATTTGTATATAAACATTAGTGTTCTAGCACTAAATTTTAATATAAAAAAATAAGTATATTTGCAGAAAAATAAATACTTTTGATTACTAGAATTCATTAAAAAAAAAAAAACATACTTCTTCTAAAAAAAAATTCCCTTTTATCAATTGATTTAGCAAACATACATACATACATATATATCTATATATATGCTGCTGGACAATTGCTAAGGACGGATCACAAATTGTAATGTAGCATAACATTAAACGAGACATGAGGCCTAGTAGTATAAAATATAGTTGCCACACTGTTCAGACATTAGAATAAAGAATATTCATTGTTCTGGAAAGTGCAAAAACTATGAAACAACTGAAAGAAAAAAAATGTTCATTTGATGCTGCGTACGGAAAAATGGAGCAATGCATCTAAATGTCAGCAGGCAACTTGAAGAAAGGAGTCAGTACGGGATATGTCCACCGTAGAGTGTGATGCGACATTCTACACCTCGTATGATACATTGCACAACATTATCCAGCAGCTGTTGAGGCAATTTATCCCATTCCTCTGTCAGTGCACGGATAAGGGTGTTCTTGTTTGTCGGAGGAAAGTTTCGACCAGCAAGTTGCCTCCCCAAAGCATCCCAAACATTTTCAATGGGTTTCAGATCTGGAGAACGTGATGGCCATATGAGGCGTTGAATATCCTCGCTGTCTAGACAATCCTGAACAGCGAGTGTTCGATGACATGTTGCGTTGTCATCCATAAAAACAAATTTATCACCGACAGCACCACTGAAGAGACGAGTAGAACTTCATCAAGGTATCGTAGGCTCGTTATAGTCCCATTGGCAACCACTTGTAGGCGCGTGCGGTTATTGATCACGATGCCGGCCCACACCATGACACTGCATGTCGGATTTCTAACACGACCTCCTCCAGCCGCCTACTACACATTCCAGTAGTTTTAAATGATCTCCATTGCCGTGAAAAAACGCTGCGAGCGATGTCGAACTCCCTGGCAACACCTGTTATTTTTCGCCCTTCTTCGATCTTTCCAATAATTCAGCCACGCTTAAAATCATCTAAGTGATATCGGGAAGACATACCGAAAATTTCAAGTTCGTCAACTACAGACTTGAAACAACAACTCTCCTCACGCGTCAAAACCTTTAAAGCTCTTATCAGCGCTATCACGTGATGAACAGACGTGGAAAAAAAAATTTGCATACGCATACCTCTTCCTACTATATCCCGCACTTATTCTAATTTTCCACATTTTGCTTCCTTTCATTTTGTGGTTGCTATGGATGATAGTGTTATCCGTCCTTAGCAATTGTCCAGCAGTGTATAAGAGTTTTCTAAAATCATGCAGAATTTTGTAGCAATAACTGTTGAAATGGCAATCGAGAAACAAAATAGACTTATAAAGGAATCCGTTCAAATTGAAAGAATTTAAAAGTGATGACTCAAATCTGCAATTCAAAATTTTTTAAGAAAAAAAAAGTCGCTTCAATCCGAAAATAGCCATAGTCGCTTCAAGCCAAAAACAGTAGCATTTTAGTCGCCTGTAGCAACCCTGCAAATAATAGCCTGCTCCTTATCTTTAACAAATGTTTCATGTAAGAAATAAAAGAAAGCTTTTTAACTTACTATTGACATTAGGATAATTTTTCCTCAATTTCTTTTTTTTTAGCTCCATGTTAGTGAATTCTTTTTCTTTAAGCCTTAGGTAACAGAAAACATAACTGAAAAAGTGTAAAAATAAGAACACTAGCATTTAACATATTAAATAACACAAATGAAAAATAAATAAAAGTATTTCATAAAACTGAAACTGTACTAACTCAAGTTCAGTTTATAAAGCTTAAGTAAAACATTCAGTTCTTTTTCAAAATTGAAATGAAATAAAAATTTAGAGAAAAGAAATTTATTTTCAACAGAAGTCAATATTTAAATTTCATCGAAAAAAATATGCAGTATTTTTACAATTTTTTTCAAAAATAGAAACTAATAAATGAAATCGAAATTCTAAATATTATGAAATTACATAAATAATATAAAAAGTCTTTCTGGGGCAATTCAGTTTATTTGAAAGATATGAATTTTCTTTTCAGTTGTGACTATAAATTTTGTCAACTGACACGATCTTAATTTTTCAGAGTATATTTTTACTAAGCAATATTTCAATAATTCATAGCAATTTCAAGTAACAAAATATAATGTTTATTAGTTCAAATATAATATAGTACTACCATGCTACTTCTGTTACTTTTACTGATTATGAAAATTTCAAAAAGAAATTTCAGCATACCAGTTTCACAGTAAGTTAATTAAACAATTTTTTATGTAAATTTAGGAATAAAAAAATTTCTTGTTTATTTACATTTTTTACATTACCTTTTCTACGAAATATGAACAGTACTGCTTCTGGCATTTTTACAGAAGGAATTAGAAAAATACTTAGCACACATATTTCATTCACTGAAATCTGAATAAAATGTAAAAACGTTTTTCAGAATACTTTTTTTTTCAATTTCAGACATTAGTTCAAATAAAAAAAAATTCCTTTTTACTTTGTATAACAATTTTTAACAGCGGGTTCAAAACATTTTAAGAAAGTAGACACAGGCAAGAGGATCCAACAGATACTGGAATATTTAGAGTATGTAACTTCTAAAGATAAGTTGGCATTTAAAAAAAAATTCTTAAAATCAAAGTTTAAATTACTTTTTCAAAAGTTTATTATTCTCAGGAGAATTTAAAAGTTTATATTTTTACACAGATCTATGAATGACAAAAAGGGCATGTTAATGTCAGTCACAAACAATTAAGTTGAAAGGAAAAATTTACATTTATTAGGACTTTAACGGTAACCAGCAAGATATTTATTAACACAAATGGTTAAGTTTACATAATTTCTAATTCATATTCATCATTTACGTAGCTATCTATTATTGAGGCATGTGGATGATATACACGTGGATGACAAAGCAGAATTTTCATGTTCAGTCAAGAACTCGAGGCTTTGTGATAGTTATCACTCCACACAATTAAAATTAAATTATATATTTCATCATCTTTTTTTTTTAAAGCCATGTTAATGGCAAGAATAAAACACTCTCGTCTTGAAAATGAAACAAATCTTAAATGGTAATAACATAATCATTCAAGAACAATAAGGTACTAAACTTGTGTTCTAACAATGTTGCCACTTTTGAAAATACTAAGATATTAAAAACACATTTCAGTCATGTTGATGACAGAAATAAGGAACAGAATATTATTTTACATTTGAGAATAAATTCTTACTTGATTTTACCATTAATGTTTTTCATACATCCATATTTAATGACAGGGATATATTGGGAAGAAAAAAAAAAGATTTTTGCATTAATTTTTTAGGATAGACAAAATATGTAAATGGAATTTGACATGAGAGGACATGTCACTTAATTTTTTTTTGATGAATCAAAAAGAATATTTAGGTATGGTTAAAGATTAAAAAATATAGTCTTAAGACTATATTTTTTCTACCGAAAAGTGTAAAAACGTTTTTCTGCGGAAAAATGTAAAAAATTTATTGTGTTGTTCAAAACAAACAAAATTATCAGTTCAGAAAACAAATTTTCCCATTTTTGTAAAATCATTTATATATAAAATAATGCATAATGAAGAAACCATAAATAAAAAATTTACATTAAACATGTTATTGCCAACTGTTAAAAAAACAAAAATATTAAAAAATGTGCAATAATGCCAGTTCCTGCTTTCCTTGAACTTCAGCTCGCTAGTTTTTTTATGTTAAAAATTATTTCTTCCTATATCATTCTATGAAAAAACAGAGTCTAAAATAGAAAAATATCATGTAAGTTAACACAGAAACATATAGTTAATAAAATAGAAGTGCAAAACTAGTTATAACAATTTAAACATATAGACATTTAAAGCAGGAAAAATCAAATAAAATATTAATAGTCTATTTTATTCTTTTTAAATTAAACCATCATTAAATTAACTTTAAAAAGATATAACAGAAAAGGAGAAAAAGATCTTGGAGCCATTTTAGCTATATATAGTCACTTCACATTCTTTGCATGCATGAGTAATTCTATTTATGCGTAAATTTTAAAGTTTGTAAATCAGTGTACGAAACTCGAATGCAGTAAGAATTATCTCTTAGCGACACTTACCTGATTTGTGTACTATTTTGGTTTAAAAAATGATTTTTGCTAACAATCTTTATGACTTTTAGTACAATATTTTTGCATATTTTAAAAAAATGTGAATGTTCAAGAAACTAATATATATATATTTAAAAAAAGAAAAAACAAAAAATTAAACAACTTCAATTTTTAGCATACTTTCAATGTAAGACAATATGCTCCATATAAGAAATATATAATTTAATCAACTTCTAGCAATAATAGGGTATACAATGGACTATGCCATGGGATTTGTTTTCCTTGCTAGATTCATAAAGCCAGATGTAAGAGAAACCCAGTCACTTTGCAATCATCATGATGTAAACAAAATACTTTCCAAATTAGATATAAATTCACATTACTAATTCAAGTATAAATACACTATAAATGTAGGATTTTTCTCCAGTTGTATAAGTTTTATCAACTAATGTAATGTAAGTTTGGGAATTCCATATCAAACGCTGTTCCAAAATAATCACCAAATTTTGACAACAACCAGATAGTAAGATGTTGGAAAAAAATTATTCCAAATATCTTTGCTGACATGTGTAAGCGCATCATAATTCCCGGGGTGGCTACAAGTTATACATTTCGAGTTTGTCCCTCTCTGTGATGTTTTTTTTTTTTAGTTTCTCGTGGGCCGCTGCCCGGAAGATTTGACGATTATTCTGCTACAGATCACAATACGGAAATCCCCCCTTTTTATTTATAACAAGCTGTTGTTAAAGTATATCTTTGAAGGAAAATAACTTGAACTCACCGATAAATTATTCATAAATTTGAATCAACGATTTGAAGTGAGAGTAAGTATTTTGACTACCTATTTTCGTTAAACTAAAGGTTTGTCACATATCTTAAAATTAATTTAAAAATCAGATAATTTTATTGCGTAGCTGGTGATTTTGTCATTTTGTAAGAGCAGAATGCTGAATCGTTCTTACTGCATGAATGATTACACATGTGATTTACGCAAGTGTGAGCAGGCTGTTTTAAGGGCAAATTTTACTGCATCTGAAAAAATCGCATATGCGAATTTGGAGATGTGAGGGAGAACTTGATTGGTACATTTTTCACGGGGAAACATATTTCACCAATCAGGTTTTCGTTCCCATCTCCAAATTTGCATATGCAATTTTTTTTCGCTTGTAGTGTAAACATTCGCGAACGCGTCTAGGGCGGCTGCATGCGATGGGATGGCTCCAATAGTTAGGGATCATTTTGACTTCCTGAATGTGGTTTACATGCTTCCAATCTCCGTCGAAAGGAAAATAAATCCCTAAAATTTAAAAATATTCAAAATTGCTCGAAAAAGTCATCAATTAGACTCTCCATTTCTTTTCCCGCAGTGATTGGAAGTGCGTGAACCGTATTCTTAATCCCTAAAATTTAAAAATATTCAAAATTGCTCGAAAAAGTCATCAATTAGACTCTCCATTTCTTTTCCCGCAGTGATTGGAAGTGCGTGAACCGTATTCTTGAGAATGTCCTGTTAAGGACCGTCTTCACTGCCTGAATTTTATTTTTATTTATTTATCTATTTATGTTTTGAATATGAATAAAAACTTTAATGGTGGAAAATATATTTGCCCTCAAAATACTCGCTAACCAGACTCCCGTATGCATGCGAAGCAAGCACATCCGTTAAGAATGGCACTTAAGTTGAAAATCTAGTCATTTTCAGGATATGGTTGTTTATTGGCGATTACAACGCTCGAATACGCCATGTCCCGCAGTGGACTGATCGTTAAGACACGGTTCCCAGCAGATCACCGAAGTCAAGCATCACTGGCTACGGTCAGTGTGCGGGTGGGTGACCACTTGGATCAGTCTGCGTAGGGACCAAGGGTGTGCGGTATTGGTCCTCGTTAAACTGTGCTACCGTAAAGTGCTCGACTTCACGCGCAGGTCGTCGGGCTTCCGAAGCGGGGGTGCCATCCCCTCCGCAGAGGATCAAAATTGTGATGGCGTGTCTTCGGATCTTCCTCCGGGATGTTTCCCAGACCGTCGCCAATAGCCCATTGTGCAGCTCTAGTGCGACGTAAATTAACAACAACAACAATACGCCATCTGGGAGGAGATCGGTATTTTTGTAACAGAATTTGTTTGAAGGAGTTGACTCTAGAAGAAATGTCAACAGACATAAGATTGTTCAGATGATTCAAATTAATATGCTGGATATAAATTACATTGTTGACAATTGTCAACAATGTAATTTATATCCAGCGCCTATTGAAATTACACATATACATATACGATTGAAGGAAATTATAAAAATTATGGATATTTTTACCAATTAATAAAATTAATATCATGATGACATATCTACAAACGTTTTCAGAGAAATGCACTGAAATATGATATATATAAAACATAGAGATAGTGGGTAATGGGCTTTGGCACTTTTAATCAGTATCAACTTCTTTAACAGACACATAAATTTTTTTTTCTAATATTGTACTTGCCTCAAACTTTGTTTCTAATAATATAGGTAACTATATAAGGATGAACAAGCCTCATTACATTATGTTTAAAAAAGGGTACTATACTTTACAAAGGTGAATAATTATTCGCTTCGAAGTAGAGTGTAAAATAACTTTTAAATATATTATTTTTAAAATCTAAAACATTAACATTATGTTCATAACATTATAATTTTACTCACTTTGAATTTGTATTAGTTATTTGATACAAGCAAACGAAATGATTATTTTTAATAGAGCACTATAATAAATTTCTTCTGTGAGTTTTACAGATTCACCCAAAAGTCCTGACGCTCCCTAAAATTTCATAGCGTGCCTCGTTGGGAACCTAGAATCTAAGTGTATCCGTAATTTTGCATTCTTAGTAATCATTTCGTGTTTTGCTAAGGATATTAGGGAAGACCGAAGTAAATTCTTATCTTAGCTATTTTCTGTTTTGAGTTAGAACTCGCTCTTACTTCAAATAAACAGTGAGTGATTAAGTTGCTGCAATAGAGTAACCGAATTACATAAAAGTCTGAGGGCGAATCAGTAAATGGGAATCCAATAAATCAACGAATTGATAAAAAGCGAATCAACAAATTAATGAATCAAATAATTAGAAAATTGAAGAACCAGAGATTCAATAAATGAGAGAATCAATCATAGTTAATTAACTGATGGATAAACATTTAGAAGCATTGGAAAACCAAGGAATCAAATAATAAGGGAATAAGTGAAAGATCAAATTAAAGAATCAGCTAATCTGAATTATTGATTTGCTCATTGATTCGTTGACAATCAGATTCGTTCAATTATTAACTCATTCATTTGCTCACCGATTCATTTATTGGTCCATTTATAGATTCCTTTATTCGTCTAACTTATTTAGTTTCATTCTATGCCTAGAAATCAATTTTACGTTTAATTCTATAACTATTCTTAAATGAAGTATGAATGAGTTTATCTTTGAAAATTATAGTAAAATACCAGAATAAAATCTAAAGTGAAATAACTTGTAAATATTTAAAATTATGGGTGCTTGTAATGTAAAAATTCATACCTAATAATTTGTATGATACGTAAAACCGTATAACGGCTATTTATGGCATCGCAAAGTAAATTTTTAATAGAATTCAATTGCATCCACATCCTAGATGAACATTAGACAATGGTGGGGATAACCGAGGTACTTAAGATGCGTTGATGCATTTTTGCATATTTTATTACGCATATTTGCGAAGTCTTGTGTTTTCACCGAAAATGTTTAACAGTGAACTAAATTTTCAAATAATATAAAATTATTATAAAATTAGAAATTTTTGAGGTTTACAAAAATTAGAAATTTTGTTTAAAATATTACGATTTTTAGCCACCTATTTATACAACGAAGTCAAAATACAACGAAGTGCGAAGATTTTGACGTACTGCTCTAAAATTCGGTATAGACCCCGCAACCTACTTGCTGGAAAGACTCAGAAAAATTAATGGTAAAAGAACAATTATAAAATATTTTTTTGGAAAGTATTATACAAATATTATATCCTCATCTGTTATATTTATCTAAATATTATATTCTTCATAAATGTGGTGTACTGTAATGGCCGCTACCATTGCCTTTTTAGAATCCTTGTAGATATATACGGGAAATATGTACGTCAGGAGGAGCAAATTAATATTTAAACAAAAAAAAAAGAGAGAGAGAAAAGAGAATAACAATGCTAACGAAGTGTAACGAATCACCATTGATTGGCTAGTTTAAGAACATAGAGAATCTGTTTAATTGCTGGAGGAGTTAAAAAGCTCATTATTTGATGTGACTCCAAGTATATTCCAGCAATCAAATAGGTTTTGATATCTATAAGATAGCAATTTATCCATTTTTGATTACTTAAATTTTGACAGTGTTTTACTTTATCATCGCTTAATTACTTTTGGGGCCCCTAATGTGAGTATTTTTTTTTTTTTTTAATTTCAAGGATACTAAAAATGGGAACATTGGGGAAAGATGGATATGGTTAACAATTTTCTTAAACTGTAACAAGCTTTCCAGAGAACCTGCCTAAATAATACAGTATATATTTATTTTAAAATGCATAAAAGGAAATTTAACTTATGTATTAAACAGACTGAGGTACAAAAGCATTTCTAGAGGTCTCTAATGTAAAGAAGATGAGTATGGTTTGTGATAAAAATTGGTACATGCATAATAAGTCCCAACCTAAGTACTGGTAGTGCGTAGGCAAAATGCCAAGCAAGTGTAATTGACTTACAAAACAAACTTATAAACTTACAAAAAACTTTTATTAAGCAAAAAATAAAATAACTTAAATTAAACGTGGCATAACTTTCTGGAAAACATAACCAACGAGAAAACGAGAATATTCTACTTTCCACATCATAACACAGCTATACACGATTCATACTCTTTCCAATACAATTATAATCTCGATGTGTTTTATATAAACAAGCATACATCTAATATTCAATCAGAAACACTTGCATAATGAGGGTAAAAAAAATCGTGACAATTACATTTACAATTGATACATAATTTATTTTTAAATCTCCGAAATAAACTTAAAAATAAAAATACGGTACTTTTATTTACGTCACACTAGAACAGCACAGTGGGCAACATCGGGGATGGTCTGGGAAACATCCCCGATGATGATCCAGAAACAACATACATACGTCACATCTCGTTTTACAGGGAGGACACATTTACACAACATCCACAGATCGTAGTTCTGATCTGAGCCAGAGCACGATCAATCTCCGATTCAGTACTCCCAGAGGTACTGATTTGTTAAGTGAACTTGGTGGACCTTGTTTTCCCGACAAATTTAGCGTGTACCAGTTACCATTTTGTATACGAAGAGTCTTCGGCCGAACGGGATCGAACTCTCGCACATGGACCCAATACCCTACCAGCCAGGCTATTCCGGCTTGATCTAAAAACCACTTATTTCTCGGAAACTATCACTAAGTGGAAAAACTTATGTCTCACTCTTGCTTATATTATAACAATCGCCCTGATTTCTAGAAGAGTACTCAATAGCCATTTGAGTAGCTGCTGGTTACGGCCCAAATTTTTATTTTACAATGGACAAAGTAACTTGGTAAGGTGGGCAAGGTTAACCCATTAAGTAACAAAACCTTTTTTTTAAACTATACATGTGATGAAGGATGTACCCATTTTTGTCGAATATTTTTGGAAAATGCTAAGAGACGTACAAAATGTGGAAGTGCCACCGCGGATAAGTGAGTTGGAATTCTCTGTCACTGGTGTAAT